CATTACAGCTCTTTATCAAAGATGTAGCCCTTTATGCCTCTTTTCGATTCACAGAGCAGCTGATGAAACAAGCTGATCAGTTGCTAATCTGAATATATTCAAAGTAAGTTTAATGATCTGCAAAAAATATGCCATGCCTGCTTAATTATTTGAATTAATTTTATTTTTTTTAAAGAGCCAATTCTATTTTTTCTTGCAGTGAAATTGATGTAATTTGTGATATTTTTATTGCCGTTTTGGCATCAACAGCTTTCTTAACAAAAAGCCATCCTGAATTTCAGCTGATTGCTTATAATTCAAGGTGAAACTTCTTTCAGGGAATGTGGTGACATGCATGACCTTCAAGGATTCATTAATCTGGTCACGCTTTCGCATTCCAGGGCGGTTTTGTCCAAAGCTGTGGAAAAATGTGAGGGAGATCTTGTTTGTTTGGGACACAACAAAGGTCAGCAGTCATGTATTTTTTCCTGACCTGCCGGGGCTCCCGACAGCAAAAGCGACAGTGGAAGAAGGTGGGAGATGTGGAAGATGTGCAATCTGTGGAAAAAAACAAAAAGACATGTGAATCACAGTGTAGCTGTGACACACATAGTCCTTCCCACACCCGAGCTATCTCCTACAAGCAGACACATCCAAAAGAGCCAAGGATCCTGTAATCACACATGGAAATTAAGATGGATAGACTGTACAGTATTTAAGTAATCATACCAGGTCATGGCTGATTTTTTTGCAGACTGAATTCCCCAAAGAAAGTGTTTACTATCACAAATCACCTGCAGCCTGAGATGAGTTTTTCACACGCCACCTCGGGCCATTTATTCCTGGAACGTTACATAACGCAGTAGTGGGTTCTGCTTGCATTCAGCCAAAAAGCCTCTTTATAAGAAAACAGGAAGGTAAGAGGATTGAGGCAGCAAGGAAAACACAGTCATCAGCTGCAACCTCTATAAGGTGCCCTCCCAGGGATCTCTCTGTTTTATCAACATAAAAGGGCATCCCAGCAGTGGGGTGGGGAATAGTGGAGGTAAATAATCACAGCCTCATCATATATCCAGAAAAAAAAGCACTTTTATTGGTAATTCTGAAATGTAACATTATTAGGCACAGTAAACAAACGATTAGCTTATTGAATGAATACTTTGATTTACTCTTTATTGTATCTCCAGCAGTATTGGAGCTTCTGATGTATCTCCTACCCGCTGAAAGGTGCTAATGGTTTAGTCCAAAAGAGAAAAAAATAGTTTAGCTTTAAAGACAAAAACCATGATGCTAACTGTGACAAGTTCTGGCGGAAACACACTACAGCTTTCCAGTAATGTTTTTGGCCTGAATTCTAATTAATGTCTGAGCTATTGCACATGTCAAATATAGCTCATAAGGCTATTATGCACTTTTAAGGCGCTTGTGATCCAGAGCTTTCTCCAGTAATAACTTAGTCTGACAAAAGCTTAATAACTTGGACTCAGTTAAATATGTTGATACTGGTCAGTACTGAGAATTTTACAGCGTGTTTTTTTTTTTTTAGCTTTCCCTTTCAAAAGTTTGATTTTAATGCATCTATGTTTCTACAGACTGCAGTAATGGAGTCTTATTGTGAAATACAGTGCAGTCTCAGTATGGGGTGCACACAGTGCTTACCAGGTTTTTTCTAATGCTTAACATGAGTGTAAAATCTGTCACACATATGGAAAACCTCACAGTGACTCACAATATTTACATAATGCACTCACTGCAGATGCATCGGCTCACATATATTTGTTAAGTTACTTATTCCTGTGACAATAGATACAATGTTTATGCCCTACAAGCCTGCATATGTACTGAGCCCTGACTGTTCACACAGTCTTGTATTTCCCATAAACAATGTTATCTACGTTACTGTATGTCATAATAACATGCTTCTGCACTGCTTTTCATCATGTTGGTTTCCTGTGAGCTTGGACACACATCAGACCAGTGTGGTGGTCCAGTTCCTTGATTGCTAAATTTCCTTAGCGATTACCTTGGAAAGCGCCCACGAAACTGATAAGTGTACACACAGCAGCTATTCAGCAGTGAAATTATGGTCAGCAAGCATATTAATAATCACTACTAAGCTAATGAATATTTTCTGTGGGCAGTATTTATCACTAAAAACACATTACTCAAAGTATTACCTGCTGGCAAGGACAGAAGTTGTTGAATCATGGTGCACACCCAATGATTGATGAGTTGATGAGATTAAAGTCGGTACGGATGCTGGAACATGATGTGAACACTTTTCCAAACTTCAGCAGAGATTGATGCATCAGAATTACTGCTAGGGTGGACAGGATAGTCTTAAACACACTGCTGCAAGAGCACCTCGACCCAGAAAACCTTCTCGAGGCTTCTGATGTGCAAGCACACACATCGAATGTGCCTGAAGTGCCGTGCTATTTCTCCCATGGGAACACACTGGCTCCTAACACCTCTGCAGCTCCGGAGACCAGCTAAAATTTCATACCATGACAGTAAATGAATCTGGCATCTGCATTACAGAGTTGTCATGTGTGTCACCGAGATGTCAAGCATGTAACATGTTAAGCAGCTTATTAGTTTTGCCTCCTCGGTAATGGATTTTACTTTGAATTGGAAAGTGAAATTGTCTGAATAGCCAGTTGGTAAGATTTGTGTCAAATTTGGGGGTAAACCTTCAGGACTTCAGGATAGCTTTGCATTTATATGCACACCTCACTATGTCCGATGACTGCAGCATAACAGGAAGCTGTATCCAAAGAGACAGGATGTTGGGTATTGTTGCACTGCTTGGAATAGAAATTACGGAAGGCTTGAAGGAACATGTCTGTAAGTGTTTTTTATATATAGATTTCCCAAGTTCACCCGATAATGTTCTGATTAGGTTTTTTTTTTTTTAGCTTGTTATGTCATGCTATTGTATAGAAGAGTGAGTAAATTGTGTTATCTCATAGCACAAAAGAATATATTGACAAGCTTGTTCAGTGACTTTCAGCTTTAGACAGAATTTAAAATTATATAATTGTTCATTTTGAAACCAGCAAAGTGCAGAAATGGGAAGACAAAACTGTTGTCATGAGAATTTGTTCTCTTTTGAAAAATTGTCTGCAATGTTCTCTGCAGAGAGCAAAGCTAGTTCACAGGCATCGGTGCTGATTAGACTAGATTTTATCAACATCTGCAAGCAGAAGATGTCAAAACAGTTACATCATTTCTTTTCACTCTGTGGTTTAAAGATGCAGAAACAATAGTAGCATTTGGTTATACATTGCAAAACCACTGTATGAATATGCAACATATTGTTGGAATATTAATGCAAACACCTCGTAAATAAGATGTCTAATCTAACCTGAACAGCTTGTCTTTGTGTTTTTGTCTTTGCAAACTTAATATGAATTCATTATTGTCCCTTTAGTGTTTAGAAAGCTGAGAAAGAAAGATATTTAATTGCATCTTCCATCACAGAATTTCAAAACTAATAATGCTCATTTATAATAATTTTAATTTGTAGGCAGTTTTCTTTTAAAGAAAAAAAAAAAGAGGTGCAATAAAGACTGTTTTTTCTGCTTGTAAAGGCTGTTTGAGGGTGCTGGTGACTGAGGTCAGTGTTTTTCCTGTTTTTTTTCAGCAGGTAGACCCTTTAGGGTACATCTACCACTGACCACTGATATGTGGTGACAGTTGCCCTGCTCTTTAAAGCTTTTTTTTAAATTTTCATACTGTGGAGAGAGGTTACAGAGAGTGAGCGGGAAAAGAGTCAGGGAAACAAACATGTTCATGTTCTTGAGCCTTCAAGCGTGGACACAAACGTACACCTAAAGGCAGCTTTTATGTTGGCATCCGTGTAGGTTTACCTGCACTGGAAATCCAATAATGACAGGCTTCTGCCACATGGTATTTACTCATATACTTTAAAATCCCAAATAAGTGAAGCACTTATGTGTTGGGCAAAGCTACAGTCTGTACATCAGAGTACTTCAAAGTGACCCCTCTTCTGGCCTTGTGTGCACCTTTCTGTTTGGCTGGTACATTTTTCATAAACATCCCCTGGCTGTATGTCTGGTTGCCTAACATAGCTGCATATGTGTTATATAACTGAACCTCCAGAGCAAACAGATGCAAGCACCGCAGCAACAGGTATTACCTTCACTGTGCCAGCATAGAACAATTCCAGATTATGATTCATGAATAATGGATGAGTGCAATTGCACATAAACAAGTCAGGCCTTCACAAAAGTAGTTTACAATGATAGATGGGCATCTATGCTTCACTGACAAAATTCATGCACTGATCAGTGATCACTGCTTCCATTAAAGCTATTTTAATTTGAACACTTTGCCCTCCTAACTCATCACCTGCAGGGTTGATAAAGTTCAGAGAAACCTCCACCTGTGCTGTTTTACCTCTTGTTCCATCAGGGACTCTTAATGATGGTGCCATCATAAATTATTGAGGTTTTTCAAAGAAAAATTATTTCTGATGCAACATACAGTGCTTAACAAATGTATTCACCCAATCCTATACCCAGAATAATGTTTCACCCACATCTGGTTGAATGTTATGCTTGATTCATTTCTGACTTCTCAGAGTAGTCCCTTGTGCCAGCTCAAAAAATGTGAATTTAGCATTTTTTTTTTTTAGTTCTGAAGTTTTTGATAGATTTCTAAAATATTTGCGTGTCCTTGTTTTTTTTATGATAATACATTGATCAAGCAGTGTACTTATATATTGATAAACAGCGTGGTAGGAAACCTCATTTTAAAGGATGAAGGAAAAACTCGCACGTGTCTATTTTTTCCTACTGGCGATTTGGTTTGAACATGTAAAGCAGAGACATTAAATATGAAGAAAGAAAAAATTTTAAGGACAAAAAGCAAACTTACATGTAGAGAAACACTTTAAAGTTTTAAAGAGATCTCTCTCTCTCTCTCTCTCTCTCTCTCTCTCTCTCTTTCTCTCTCTCTCTCTCTCTCTCAGTTTAGAAATGGGCTGGTTCTCTCGGTGATGTCACCTCGCTCCTGTGTGGACATTTATTCCACATAGTGTGCATCTCCCGTTCGTCTCCACAGAGAAGCGGTTCACCCTAACGCAACTAGCATTACGCATGACATGGATGCCGCAGGAGCGAATTTATTCTCGGAGTCTTTGCGGATTGTGAACTCTGCTCCTCTCGCAGTTTTCTCACACAGTCGACATCTGATGTGCGTGTCGGATCTCCCCAAAGGACGTGTGTTAAACAGTTTGCTGTTTCAGGAGATCACGTCTGCAGCCCCCGTGTCTTATGTGGGCTGCACTCGATAGTGACCCGGAGCTTTACGCGCAGCCGATCCCCATGCTTTAGCAACACAGCTCAGCGCACTCAGCCTTAGATGTTTCGAAAAAGAACAGGGTGAAATAACAAAGATGATACAAACGGACATTTTGCAGACAGAATGGATTTAACCCAGCTAAGCCTCTTGTTGGGAAATGTTTCCAACGTTGAAAACACCACCGACGCACCGTTCGCTCTGCCACACACAGAGGCAGCCACCGCACTCATCATCCTCGTGGTTACAGTGATCATTTCGGTCACAATTGTTGGTAATGTGTTGGTGATTGTAGCGGTTCTTACTAGCAGGGCTCTCCGTGCCCCTCAGAACCTTTTCCTGGTCTCTCTTGCATCGGCGGACATCCTGGTGGCCACACTAGTGATCCCCTTCTCCCTCGTCAACGAGGTAATGGGCTACTGGTACTTTGGAAGTACTTGGTGCGCCTTCTATCTCGCTCTGGATGTCTTGTTCTGCACCTCATCCATCGTTCACCTGTGCGCCATCAGCCTGGACCGATACTGGTCAGTAACAAAGGCGGTTAGCTACAACCTGAAACGGACACCTAAGCGCATCAAGTCCATGATTGCTGTAGTGTGGATAATATCTTCTATCATCTCCTTCCCTCCTCTCCTCATGACCAAACACGATGAACGGGAGTGTCTGCTAAATGATGAAACCTGGTACATCCTCTCATCCTGCCTGGTCTCCTTTTTCGCTCCCGGTCTCATTATGATTCTGGTATATTGTAAAATTTATAAAGTTGCCAAGCAGCGCTCCTCCACCGTGTTCGTGGCGAAGAATGGCCTGGAGAGGCAGCCCTCTCAGTCAGAGACCTGTTTTGTCAGGAAGGACCGGTTCGAAATGGAGAGCCCTAGCAGTCAAAGCTCCGGCAGCCATCCGCAAAAGCAAGGGGAGCTGGACGACATCGACCTGGAGGAGAGCTGCTGTGCATCGGATACGAAACCCCGACACCATCGCTTCACCAAGCGAAGGAAAGTAGAGGGATCGGACAGTTGTCCACCCCAGAACTGCCGACTTTCCTGGGCTTCAGCCCGGGCGTTACAACTTTACCCGGAGCAGAAGAACCCAGCTGGGCGACAACAGCTGGCCGCAGCCAACAAGACCAAAGTGGCCCAGATGCGGGAGAAGCGCTTCACCTTCGTCTTGGCGGTAGTGATGGGGGTGTTTGTGCTCTGCTGGTTCCCCTTCTTCTTTACTTACAGCCTGCATGCTATCTGCAGAGAGAGCTGCTACATCCCCGCCGCACTTTTCAACCTTTTCTTTTGGATTGGCTACTGCAACAGTTCTGTGAACCCCATAATCTACACCATTTTCAACAGGGATTTCAGAAAAGCTTTTAAGAAAATTATATGCAGGACATCAAAACGCACATGAAAGGTTGAAAAATAATTTTCTGGCTCTCAGAAACATTTGGAAGAAATCATAGTATTATAACTTATTGATCTTGGCTGACTATTCTGCTACTCCATCATTTAAATGTAATGTTTAGCATATTAAAAATATCCAGTGTTGTGTACACATTAAATTGTCTATAATTGAAATAAATCATTATATATACTTGACCATTCCTGCAGCAAGCTCAGATATTTCAGGGCAAGGGGAAGTCATGGTCACGTCTGTTGCTGGACTCTTGAGTGTTGGCAGCTGGTCACTGTGGGTGCCGAGATAAATAGAAGATTAATCTCCAGCATGGAGATTTTGACTTTTTTTGTGATATTGAAGAGGAAAAAAAGTGCTGAATTCTGCATGGATGAAATGTTTGGCATTATTTCAGGTAATTCGTGTAGCTTTCTGTGCTTGCTGCAGTTAAAGGTACAGCAAGGTTATCAGCTGTTTCTTATCAGTGAACCCCTAAACTTATGTAAGAGTGTAATCTCACACCTCCGCCATGCTATCACACCACCTCAGGACCAGAACAATGGCCGAGCTGAGGCCTGCATTTGCAGAATTGATTGCACACGTCTCTGTATTTCATTTCCCTGCAACTGCTTAACATTTTGTCATTAAATATTTTAAGATGCTGTTAAACATGCAGTGCCAACTTACTATACATATCGTTTTTAAGTCTTAGACAAAAGCCTCCTGATGGATTTGACATATTCTTGAATAAACAGAAGAAGAACACTCAAAATAACAAAAGTAAAAACATTTCTGATAAGATCTCAGGACTGGTTTAATCCACTGTGAGCTCTCTTTGGTTAAAAAAAGAGTTTAATATCTATAAGTCAGGCCTCACACTGTGATGCTAAGCTTTATAAAGCTGTTAGATTACCACTTTCTTAATATAGTGAAAAATCTGCAGAAGAAATCATTCATAAGGGACAGTTCTTCAGTATCTGATTAAAAAATGATTAATGCATTGGTACAACTCGCATACATAGGATGGGAGTGTTATTAGAAGACTGTATTTGAACTTCCCAACACTGTTTTCCATACAACATCAGACTGTGGTCAGTTGTTGATGCATGTGGGATACAACGTGTATGTCATATGGTGAATATATCATGAAGGACCGCGCTGAGTATAAATATACTATTTATATCCTCTTAGGAATGTCTTCAAAGCACTCCTACTGCTCACTGGCCCCTCGCCAAAGATAATCACCCTGTCTGAGGGATGTCATGCTGAAAAAGAGAAAAAAAAATGAAAGCAGTTTTTGTGAAGTATGCTCACATTCGCAAGGGTATTGTTAAAATGCTGTCAGGAGAAATAAGGGTGAAGATGGCTGCATATTTTCTTTTCTTTTAATGTGAAATACCATTTTATTTATGAAGGGAATCAGAAAGTCCGAGAGGAGTGTTGTTAGCGTGAGGAAACTTTATCTCAGAGGGATTCACAAACTCTCGAAAGAAATTAAACGTCTGGGTCAAGTCGCACTTGTAAGAGTCGGTGTAATTAGCTTTGTGCCTTCATCACATTTAGCAGGATGGGATTGATGCTTATTTATCTGTGACTTAATGGGATGTTGCTGTACACATGTTACATGTAACCTGATTTCTCCAGAGAACAAAATTACAAGTGCATTTTTCATTACCTCAAAATGAAACACTCATATTTAAATTATTTGCTGATAGTAAACTGATTCGTGGCTGACAAGACACCCAACTCCCTTGTTAAATCACACTTCCGAATTCAATTGTCTTTTGTAATCAGCTGCTCAACTGCAGCAGGATTGGGGCACAATGCTTTTAATTAGCTGTAGTGTTTTCTGACGCTTTCATGTGCACTTCCTCCAGGCAAGTCTCTTCAAACGTCAGCGCAGCTCTGTTAAATCTTTTGAAAGCGAGCGCTTGCAATATTACATTACAGTGCTGTTATTTTCCTTTGGTGACCCGGGAGGAAAGTATGACAAAGCAAAACATGGAGAATTTTCACAGTGCTTCACCAGTCGTCGCATAAACGCTCTGATAGCTCAACTTTTATTCAAAACCAAGCCTGTGGTGGCTTTTTGTGTTTTGCAGATTTGAAGCTCTACAGTCTGCACAACAATCCACAAACTCTTTTCCTTATCCCAGAATGTAAACAAAGTTGGCGACTGGCTCAGGAAGGGAAGCAGAGCTGCAGTGACCCTTGACCTCCTAAACTCTCTTCTAAAGACTTAATGAGAGCAACAGAACAACTGGACAGAGCCAAAACATTTCCTGATGTGGACTGTTGACAAAAAAAGCCCCACTCGAGCCTCTTAATAGGGGAAGAAGAGTGAAGATTTGGAGTTAAAAAAACAACAACGTTTTTTTAGAGCCAGAAAATTTTGCAAGGTTATTTGCAGTCCTAATAGTCAGAAAAGAGACAGTAATGAATATTTCAAGATAGGTGCGCCGCAGAGAAAAGTGAGCGTCTTAGGAAAAGGGAGAGAGTGGAGAAGGGAGCAGTTGCTTCTTGTCGTCTGCTACATTACCTTGTTTATCACACAACGGAGCATCTGCAGGTAATTGCTTTTTTCAATTGTCTCTAACAAGATAAGGATTGGAGGCAAGTGAGGCCAAATTTCGACTCAATCTCAGGAAGCTGTGTATCCAGAGAAGGAGACCTCAGTATGTCATTAGTGTAAATCAGCTGGTTTCATGTCTGAGCGAGGGTGGAACTGGGCTCATGTCTCCAGGGTGTTCTAATATATCGCCCTGCTAAACGCAACCACTATGTGACTTGAGTCGACAATATAAATCACACCGTACTAATTTAAAGATGATAGTGGTATTATCTGTGTTTGAGAGCAGATTTTACTAACTGAATCCCAGTGACGTTCATATTACATTTTAAGATATTTACTATGAAAACAATGTTTTACTATTTTTTGTATTTTCCGTAGAGATTTGGAAATTAAAATATTATTGTGCATTTCCCTTCACTGTGGTGAACATGGGCACTGTTTAGATAGAGCCAGTCCAGCAAACACTTTCCCTGCTGCTGTGGAAAATCTGTAGCACGGCGAGTTTGCTGCTAAATCTGCATAAATTATCCTCAAATGACACAATCTACTCCAATTTGAATAACAATACAGCGGCCGGAAGTTTAAGAAAGTGGACTGGATCACTGGTTTTAAAATTGTCTTATGATTCATCATCTGCTTTATTCCTTTGATTCTCAACAAATAAAGAATGTGTATAAACAAAGAGAAATATGTAAGCCATGTAATTAGTCATAACTGATACAATGTCGCTCATTTGGACTGAACGTTTACATCATGCTCGGTGGCTGCAACTCACTCCTTAAAACAAAACTATTTTTCCCCCTTGTATGTTCTCATACAGAAAAAAAAACATGTCTGAGGGGTGACTAATGACTTGGACTGTGCTGGAAATGTTTTAGTCCCCAAAGACTCAACTAGGACACGTAATCTGAGTTATCTCTGCTCTGGTACCTGCCTTATTATTTGTTATCCAGGATTAGGTACAAAGATAGTTCCAAAAGTAATGCGTAATCATTCTAGGAGACAACTTAAGTTTACCTCTATTTAACTCCAAACTATCTCTGATTTAAATGTTTGGTAGTGATGAGGTAATGATGTAATAATGATGCAATAAGGTGGAAAAAAGGTAATAATATTTATTGCCCATTTATATAAATTTCAGTGAAATATCACTCAGGTATGATGATAGTTGACACATTACTTGGTTATTTGATATTACTTTTGTAGAGTGGTAATAACTTGTTATTACCATATTATTACCCCTACAGAGCTGTAATAGAAGGTGATACTTAAGTAACGGACTCTTCATCACTGCATCCAGAACATTCAGGGACATTTGCACCTCTCTGAGTTTATATTCATGAATTCCTCCAGAACTACAGGTCTAAAGTATTGCACCATCCAGATAGAAAGTGGACAACAAGGCCTTCTGAATGCTGTGTTGCTGCTAACTGGCTTTACACATCAGTGAGTGAGAGACACTGCATCCATCCATGCACAGTGTCTCATAAATTGCACACAATTCATGAGAGACTAAATCTTTTTATCCTCAGACAATATTTAAACTCAAACAAAACATTTGTGCAGCTGCTTCATTTGGGGAAATCTCTGCTACATTTCTCTCACAATCTGGACTGTTGTTAACACGCTCCAGTGCTTTCCCTCACTCCTGTGATGAGACAGATTACTCGGGCTGATTATGCATTCTGCTGGACGATGGTGCATCTCTGCCAACTGATTATTATTTATTTCTATCATCACCGGTAAACACACATAAGACAAACACACTCTCAGCTCTCTGCCAGGCGCTCGTCTGTTTCACACATACAGGGAGAGTAAGTAAAGCATTAAGAGGATGTTTGTGACCTGCGATAGCCTACATAGTCTTTAAAGCCTATGATAGCCCAGATAGGATCTTTCACCTTTAAAACAGGAAATGAACTGGACCTGCTGTTTAGCAAAGGTATGTCACTGTCACACAACAGGGGCACTGCACTCTGAATATCGTTAGTTCACTTTTAAACAACACATAACTCACTGCTAATTAAAATAACTGTAGTCTGAAACACAGCAACCTCCCTGCCTTTTGACCCTTTTATATTTCACCAACCATCCAGATTCATAAAAGCACATATGAAACCATTTTTTCCTTTCAAGGCTTGTTTTATGAAGCACTAGTAGGGGTCGCTTCCTGCAGTGTTTTTCTAAGTTGAAACAATTTTTGTGGCGGCACCTGCAGCAATAACACTCTGCTAACTAATATTTGTATCAAAAGGAGGATGAATATTAGAAATAATGAAAATGGGAGTTACTATAAAGAGCTTCATGGGCATAGAAATAAAGTCTGTGTTATTTCCTCAGGCAGGAGGGATCGGCTCTGTTGTTTTTCACCACCGACAGCAACAACAACACTTCGGCGCATACTCTCTTCTTCCCCAGTTTAAATGGATATGAAGGATGGGTGTAAATGCTGATGATTAAGAGTTCACATGCATGTTTTTCTTCTTTTTATTTTACTGAAGATATTAAATAAGTGGCAAATAAAAGTAATCTTTAAGAACTTCTTCAACAGTATTGATTGCATTTAGTTCTTGAATGACTTACAAGTAACTCACCAAGGCTGCTTTTGCTCAGCGTATATATGTGTGCAGTGATCATGAAAGATTTCTTTTGGTGTCGAGCATATCAAACATACCCTTCAAAAACTCACATGCATGCGACAAGCTTGTGCTTGCAATACTCCGGTGCAGGCTTTCAGCTCTCCTAATCCCATAAGAGATAGGATGTTTTTTTTCACTTTCTTAAGCTACAGTAAGAAGAGGATAACACGCTTTTACTCCTGTCCCTAAAAGGATCAAATTCACATAGCCTTGTCCATAATATTTGATATTTCAGGGGTTTAAAGAGAGAAACTAGAAAAGGAATTTAGCAAAACTTGTTGTTTTATCTTCAAGAAAAAAAATGAAAATCCATTAAAGCATTAAAGCAGAATTTATCAGCATTTTAATTATAATGTAAAAAGATCTCAAAAAGAAAATGACTATCGTGTGACTGTATAGTTTCCCCATGCCTGAAGGAGGATTATTGTTTTGGTTTTTGATGATATTCTTTCATCCGCCTTGTATGGTACAGCTCCAACACCAAACATCAGATAAATTTAAACTACTTGCAGATTGATGAAACCAGATTAGCATTTAGCAGCTAAAGACACGAATATTTCCCCAAAGAAATGACACCAAAACACAGCTGGGAGCTGGGTAGAAATTGGACTTTGATTCATCAAATGGTCGGTAGCAACAACTCCAAATAATTGATAATGTTGCATCATGGCTGCTGGGTAGTTTGAGAAGTGTTGCCAGCACATTTATCAGAACAGCTTCTTGTAATAACAACACATGAGAGCTATTCTTACATCACCTTTTTGCTCTGCCCCCAAGAAACCAAATAATGAAGGTTTTACTATTCAGATTATTACAACCTCAATTCTAAACAAAACTGGGAAGTTGTGTAAAACATAAGTAAAAACTGAATGTAATCATTTGGAAACATCATAAACCCGCATTTTATTCATAGCAGAGCATAGAAAATATGTAAAACACTGAAACTGAGAAAATATATAAATTTATGAATAAAATTCGATCATTTTGAATTTGAAGAGACATATCTCAAAAGACGGCAGTGTTTACCACTCAACGTTTCATTTACCATGAGTGTGGGAACCATCTGGGAACTCTGGGAACCAGTTGCTGGAATGTCCATTCTTGTCTGATATAGGATTCTAGCTAACAGCTAACAGTCCTGGGTCGCCTTCTTGTATTTTTCATTTCACAACGTTTCAGGTGTTTTCAGTTGAAGAAATGTCTGGAATGGGGTGAGGCCAGTTCACCATCCAGACTTTTCTACTCTGCAGCAGTGTTTTATATGTGGTTTAGCTTTGCAGTGCTAAAATATACAAGGCCTCCTTTAAAAAGATGACATCTAGATAGGAGAATATCTTGGATGTCTTGGTTTAAACGCTGTGTATAGAATTCAGCACTCTTGATACGCTTCCAGATGTGCGAGCTGCCAATTTCAGAGGCACTAATGCACCTCGTACCATCAGAAATGCAGACTTTTGAACTCTGTACTAATAATAAGCAAATAAGCTAAAAGGCTCATTTTGATTTGTCTGACCGCATAACAGTTTTCCACTTTCCCCCAGTCGATTTTAAATAAGCTTGGGCTTATAATTATGTTAACTAATTGCGTATTCTTTGCATCTTAGAACTTTAACCTGCATTTGTAGATTGCACAGCAAATTGTGCTCACTGAAAATGATTTCAATGATTTGTTCCTGAGCACATGCGACGATTGCTATGAACGAATCATGCAGTGCTGCCTGAGTGCCAGAAGTTCACAGGCATCTGATACTTGTTTTCAGCCTTGTCATTTGCAAATTTTGAGAGAATTGGAGTTATATTTTAGGTCCAGGTTTATTCCTGGTAAAATAATAATTTTATGGCAAAGTGAATTACCCTTTTATTTAGAAAAGTACTTTTGATGTCTGAGGCAAACACATTTTTGTCAGATATTCCCCACATAATTTTCTCCATACAAATATTCCCCTGACTGAGAGATTGTGGATTATGAATAATATGATGAAAATCCTGCTGTTCAGAGAGGAAGTGAAGGAAGTTGTGGGAAGGGTGGAAGAGGGGTGTTTTACCCTTGACCTCAGTCCCTGTGGCCAAGAACTGAACGCAGTACTGAAGAGGCCACACGCTCATTCCACAAGACAATCACCCATAAAAATTTGGATGTTATGCATCTGTTTCATAAACTTATTTATCATGCTGTGCATTGAGAGTCAAGTCCACTGTTAAGGTTGTGTGTTATTTTAACAGTTCTAATCCAAGATTGTGGAATAGTTACTCAAGCATTCACCCGTCGCTCCCCGAGGGGTAAGAAGTCACTTGGGTCATTTAAATACAACCTGCAACCTCTCCAACACCAACCAAGCATAGGATTTACAGTCATTTTCTTTTCCATTCTTTTATCTCATTCCCTGACAACGTTGGTCAGCGTTCCCAAGCTGGAGCTAGAGTGTAAAAACTGAAAATATATAGACAATTTAGTAAAATTCAGAAATTCTAAGAAAAGCAGGAAGTAATAACTCAAAGCAAGAAGCTGATTGAAGACGATGGCTGAAGAGAGCACAGCTGCAAAACATAGCAGCCGTTCATACGTAATGGAGATTGTCACAATTCCACTGTGGCATCAAAATAAGGGCAGGGGAAAAATGCAGGAGTAATGAAACGTTACTCTGAGGAAATAGACCAATGTCCTGCTGTGAAAACAAGGCAAAACAGTCCAAACAAGGGGACTGTTTATTTCCATGACATTGACTCTTCTCCACCACATCGATTCGCCTCCATCTCCCTTTGCTTATTATAATGGATTGGATTTATATAGCGCTTTTCAAGGCACCCAAAGCGCTTTACAATACCACTATTCATTCACTCTCACATTCATACACTGGTGGAGGCAAGCTACAGTTGTAGCCACAGCTGTCCTGGGGCAGACTGACAGAAGCGAGGCTGCCATATCGCGCCATCGGCCCCTCTGGCCAACACCAGTAGGCAAGTAGGGTAAAGTGTCTTGCCGAGGGACACAACGACCAGGACAGAGAGCCCGGGGATCGAACCGGCGACCTTCCGGTTACAGATGCGATTCCCAACCCCCTGAGCCACGGTCGCCCCCCTATTACTATGTTCATCTATCTGTCTTGCAAAATAAGAGAAGGTTCATATTCCAGGACCTTCTTACTGTATTGGAAGAGAGATAAATGGAACTTATTCTAAGCATCAAGAGTTTGGACGTGTGAGAACACAGGAAAAAACTGTTAGTTCTTTTTGCACTTTACGCTGCACTCGCAAATATATCATCTTGTGCATTACCATTTCACACAATAGCACCGAAATTCAAAAGCAAAGCTCTTATTACTCATAACTATTTTGTCAAGAAGTGCACACCATACTGAATAGGAAGCCTTTCATGGAATTTTAACTCTGACCCAGACTTCACTTTTATCGGGGTGTAGATGATGAGATTTATCACCTCGCACTTGGCAAGCTCTCTGAGAGGAAATTCATCTTTAAAAATAACCACCACTCCAGCTCAAGAGGTAAACTTCCAGCCTATAGATATCTGGTATTTGAGAGCTATGCAAGGAATTCCCAGATGAACAGCAGCTCATTAATGGACTTTGGAAAATGTGATTGTGTATTACTAGGGGTAATTTTTCAAGTGTTACCTGGAACTGAGTGTTGAATGCAGGAGAAGATGCGCATATGTTTATGTTTATCTCTCTTTGGAGTTTGGTTTGGCAGGGCATCAGTCTTTCCTGATTCACTGGAAATGCAGCCTGAATGCAAACAACAGCAAAGTATCATAGCTCATGTGTATTTATTATATGGTGAGCTCAGTATTACAGTTTGCTGCTTGGATTTCCTTTTTTTAAAAGAAAAGTTGCTTGTTGGATATATAATAAAACACTTTTTTTTCAGTGACACCACAAACCTCAATGTTTCAGCAATTGCAGCTATAGCCAGTCTATTACCATAGTAGTGAAACCTTCTTTTTCTCTGAGCATGAATGAAACTATCCACACTTACAGGGCCAGTGGCCTTTTATTAAATTTATCTGACAACAATAACACCTGGTAAATTTGGAGGCCATGTGTTGACACTGACCTCAATATCATACGTGTTCACCAGTTTTGGATTCATTCCAGCAAAGTGGGTCAGACAAAAGCTGAACTTCAGCAGCACTGGTCTCCAAAGTAGGATGCAGCGTGTGATTTCAGTAACCTCACTTCACCTGGCACCTGCCATTGTGGCACCGGTTCTGACATAAACGGTAGTAACCAGACCGAAAAGCAGCGCACATTTCTGTGCTTTTTTTCGGTGCTTTTTTTTCCCTGAGATGTCATACACTTTGGATTCTAGCCAATCATTTTACCTTTCCAAGGATAGTAGGCGGGCCCAGGTACGTACGTTCTATTAGAGCAGAGCTACAAATTAAAAATGCCCAAGGCGAAGCAAGGCGAAGCATATATTCCTATAGCTGCAGAAAAGGCTAACATTTTACAATAAAACAGCTAAACATGAGAGTTTTTTGGACAAAGTGTGTGTTCCCCATTCTTTAAGCACCGATTCGAGCACCGTTTAAGCACCGGCACCGTTTCAAAAGTACCGGTTTGGCACCGGTATCGGATAAAACCTAAACAATACCCAGCCCTATGTAAGGGTCCATGTTGTTAAAAGATTCCTCTATTGAGCTGTTGTGACAATGGAGACCATCCAAATTCTTCAAACATTTGAATCTGGCAGCAGAAATGCAGACTGATCAGACCAGGCAATATTTTGATTACATGCCTAAATTGAGCTGACCCCATTTGATTTGCAGAAATCAGAATTGTTATTGGATATTTCTATATCTGCCTTTTTATTGGTTACATGGTATTCACGTTGCTTTCTTCACTGCTTGAACCTGTCCTTTACTTGGAGATTTATTAAGTCACGTCTTATCTGCCCATTTTGCTGTCCTACAGTCTAGTATTTAAGTAACTAAATTCTTTTTTAACCACGAAATGTCTGAGAAGTCAACTTTAGAGTCCCGACCTAATCCGCTAAAAATTGAGTGTTCTGCCGGGGTCATAGTTTTGTTAAACTCTAACAATTTTATTTCTCTGCTCAATATTTCTTCTGCGGCAGTGTCAGCACACAGATGTTCAGTGTTACACCACAGGTCTACACTGTAGAGAATTATTAATCTTTGAGGCCCCTGTATCTCTTTGCTTTTTTTTTAAAATTCTATCTAAAAACAGTTCCATCATTCAGACACAGCAGACAAAAGCCCTCGGCATTTTAAATTTAGGTAATGGTAATGGGCCGAAAAATGCTATTCTAGATTATGTCAGGGGTATCAGTGATGTGCCACGGGACAATTAGGCTCATAGGGTGTCAATGAGTATTGATTCAAGAGTATGCAGAAGTCTGTTAACCTCTCATAAGCACAAAGCCCAGTGTCACACAAATAGACCCACATGCACATTAGCCCACTGCCACTGTGAAACACTGTCATTTAAAATAGGGAGAAACTAAGAGGAAGATGTGGCTCATCTGTATGCATGTTTATACTGGCACATTTATGGTTCTGGATGTTATATATGTATGTTCATCTGTTACACGTGTGTGGATAGTTTTTAGTCCTCCTTTTTGATTCATTTGATAAGATGGAAAGTTAGATAGGATGAACTTTAAGCAGTCCCATTACTCGCACATGTTTCGGATTAATGAATGACATGTGTGTGTTCTTGTATCCATATTTGTACATGTGTGGATGCATGTTGTTACAAGGCCGAGCCCTCCAGCCTACGTTATTACCATGTGGATTAGTGTTTGTTTTACCTCCCAAGGGAGCACACGCAGTTGTTTTCAGTTAATTAAAACAAACTACCTGCAGTCGTAGCCTCAGGACTTGGATAAAATCAAATATCAACACAGCGTGGTGTCCAGTTACTGCAATTTATGTACATTTTTCAGCATGTGGTCTCAGGAGATGTGTCGTGATTTAATTAAAAGGTGGGCTTTTAAAGCAGCTTTTAAAATGTCAGCAATACTTCAAAACTTTATATTTCATGACAGAAAGAGATTCAAAGTACACACCCTGTTGTTCATCCAATTACATACAGCACAAATCATCTGTGTGAGGCCTTCCAGCACAGGTAAGACACAGGTGACAAATAACTTGTTTTATTTAGTGTAAGTGCTATGTTGGCTGCTCAATGAGTGGGCAGTATTTCTGCTGCTTCTGGGAACGAAGCTCCTGGAAGGGGGAACAGGTGCAGGGAGGGGACAGCCTGCGCGCCTCGATTAACAAGCAGATGGTGGAATAGGGTTTATCCTGGGCCAGAGAGCGGATTGTGAAAAAGAGAAGAGAAATAGTGAGAGAAATGGGGTTGGCGACACACTCAGACACCTAGACAGGTAAACAAGCTGGAGTAACCTAGGAGGAGAGACACGTAGGAAGGATTAAATGACAAATGAACCGATACCAGTCAGATGATGAGTGAGAGGATGTGAGAGAAAAGAGGAATACATTTATGTCTATGTAACGTATCTGGGCAGTCATATGATGTTTACAAATGATGCCTCCTGTAATTTATGCAACTTTTGAACACGCAAACTTTTGCATATGTTGACTCTGAACTTTTCTGATTCATCTGGAGTCACAAACATGTCAAACTTTTAATTTATTCTCTAATTTGGTTTATGACCCCATACCCAGAAAGCTCATTAGTTCCATTAGCCCCACAAGTACTTCGTCTCTTTTGGCAAATACCACCATGCTGACATGCGACATTAAAATGGTGAAAACGATGTGCAGGGAAATGCAAGTGGAGTCCTACTCTAAGGTGCAATCACAGAAAATGTGAAAATAGTTGTGGTACCTCATCAGTGGTTCTGTCTCAGCAGTGCTTTGCACAAGTCGTATTTCTTCCCTGCATCTGACTTTTAAAAAGCTTAATCGGTTGTTTTCCTAAAGCTTCACCATTGTGCTTGTTTTATCAAAATCTCACCAGTTGAATCTCGGATATGATGCTGATTTTAAGAGTATGATGAATATTGCCTTTGGATAATTTTTTCTCAGCCCGTGTATCCATTTTGATTGGTAAAGCAAGCTGATTTTGATGTTTGTCAAACATCAGTTATGGATTCTCAGCTTTAATTATTGTGTTCCCACTGGGCCCAAAACTTTCTCTCCTTCTGTTTGCGCTTCTAGGTTTATTATCTAGCATTATTCACAGTGAATGTCAGAAATTTCAGTTCATACTAAAATGACGGCTCATCTGTCAGACTGACATTCCTAACACCCATCTCACTACTGTTTTGGTTAAAAATCAAAGATGTCTGATAATTTTCTCAAAGTTTTCTCAAAGCGTAACAAAAAAAGTACATGTTCTGCTCTTGTAAAGATATTCCTGTGTGTTTACACTCAACATGACCACTCAAAGCACACCGAACTCGTCAGCTCCTCTGAGTGGATTTTCTTTTACATGTCATCCTGTTCATTACAGCTCGAGGTGAGGATTTGTGTCACAGTGGCTTATTACAATGATGTGTCCCTGTGCTATGGCTATGAATTATGCAATACTCAAATAGCTTAGAGTACAATATATGACTGTGACAGCACTGTAGAAATATGTGGCATTTTATTTCCAGTACCAATTCAGTTCAAAATCCTCCAACAGCGATGCTGTTTAAAGCTTGAGGACCTCATCGGGACTGGAGTGTCGTTTTCATGATGAAATTTATTGGAAAAAAAAAACATGGTGGGGAAAGTGGAACCAGCACCAGCACCCCACTTACACACACACACTTACCTCCATTTAAATTTACAGTTTAAGA